GTTGAGTGTGTGGGGTGAGATGAAATTAGTTAAATTCAGTTTCTATTAGCAAAAATAGAAAATATATAAAATAATGCTACACATTTGTGCACTAACCAGAAAAATATATATAATATATATATAATAATATAATCAATTCATTCCAACTGCTTAGTCCTGTGAAAATGAAGAAAGAAATCCCAAAATTAGCTTCAGACAGAATAGACATAAAGGAAGATGCAGGTCTTGGCTTTAAAGTGATAAGAGCAGAAACATTTGTCTTAAATGTGGAGCTAGAACCAGGCAGCTGCTGTAGATAACGTGGCCTATCTCCAACTCATATTCTGTCTGGTTTGGTTTTGTCCATCAGATATCCCTCTGGTTAAACGTCTGTGACTCACGATGATGTCGGCGTGAAAGTAGCTTTTTTAAAAAAAAATCTTTCTGGTTGGTTTGAATAAAAGACAAAACTAAAATAAACACTTTTAAACGGTTATTTATACTGATTATGGTCTGGGCATCAAAATAGTCAACAAAACAAGAGGTGCGGTGACAAAGATATTAATTTATATAAACAATGGGAAGTTAAGCACTGCCAAAGGGCACAGAGACAAAACAGAGTTTGTGGTCACAGCGTGATGAGGATCTAACTCTGCCAGGACTTTGTTGTGTCACATTGTATGAGTGAGTGTGAATTGGTAGCTTATAATCTGCAGTGTTTGCAGCAAATTCAGCTGCACGTTCTCAGTGTATGTTGAGTTTTAATCAAGTGACCTTTGAACTTTAGATTTACAGATTTACTCCCTGAGCGGCGACTGTCAGGTGACATGAAGTTACAGTTCAACAAACATTCCTGTATAAACAGGTAATAAAGTACTTCAACACTTCTAAGGTAGACTTTATATTTGGATCCTAATCAAAACAAGTGCGAATACACAGATGAATTAATCAATTAACAAGTGAATTGTTTATTTTTGTTAATTCAAATTCCTTAATTTGACAAAAAATATTTTGTTTATATTACTGGAACTAAAAGACAACAATCAGTGAATGACCTATAAATGTTAGACATATTAGTACAGTGGGTGTTTCTTTGCATTAAAATGCATGAAAAAGTCAGATTAATCTTTATTAATTAATGAGTTTTTGATTAATTTTGACATGCTTAGTATA